TATATAATATTGTGGTTTCCTCTTTAATATTTTAATACTTTTTCTATAGATCTATTATATATAATAGATATATATATAATAGATATATATTTTACACATATTATATATTATATATAATATCTATTCTATATAATATATAATATATATTATAAATTATATATTATATATATAATATATAATAGATATATATAATATATAATATGTATATGATAGAATCTATTATATATATAATATATAATATATAATACAAAGAAATATATAGGAAGAAAGAAAAATATATATATTTTATATATATATATATATATAATTGCACTTTAGGTTCTGGGGTACATGTGCAGATCATGCAAGATTGTTGCATAGGTACATACATGGCAATCTGGTTTGCTGCCTCCATCCCCCCATCACCTATATCTGGCAATTCTCCCCATGTTATCCCTCCCCAACCTCCCTACTGCCCACTGTCCCTCTCCTAGTCCCCCCGACAGACCGCAATGTGTGATGCTCCCCTCCCTGTGTCCATGTGTTCTCATGGTTCAACACCCGCCTATGAGCAAGAACATGCGGTGTTTGATTTTACAGCTTTAATTTTCCTTCTAATGGCTCTCTTCATTGCAGCCCATAAGTCCTGGTATGTTGTGTTGTGTTTTTGTTTTTATTCAGCTCAAAGTATTTTTGTGTTTCCCTTGTGGTTTCCTCTTTAATACTTTGGTAATTTATAAGGCTGTTTAATTTCCAAATATTTTTGTGAATTTTCCAGTTTTCCATCTGTTATTGATTTCTAAATTCATTCTGTTGTGATCAGAAAAGACACTTTGTGTGATTTGATTTCAACCTTTTAAAAACTATAAAACTATGAAGACTTATTTCGTTACCTCACATATGGTCTATTTCAGAGAATGTTCCATGTGCATTGGGGGGAATTGTGTATTCTGGTAGGGTTGGGGAAGTCTAATAATCCCTAATGTACCTCATTTCTAATGTACATTTTCCAGCCAGAACACGCCAGTACTCTGTCTACAATGACAGACAAAAATTCATTTTTTCTCTTCTTCTTCTAAAGCCATATTAGAGATTCCCAATTCAACTATAATACGTATTATTTTAGCTATCTATTTAAAGTGTCACATCATCCCAGGGACCTTTCAACTGACTGACTACATTCGTCATGATTATAGTAATTACTGAAAATAAACACACGAGACTATTCTCTTTAACTAAAATATCATCTTATTTTACATTCAGTAAAATTTCAAAATTTGCATATAAAGCTAAGGAAGGACACAGCTTTAGAAACAATGGGCTCACTTCTCTCCAGATCTGTGTGAAAGTTGGTGTGAAGGTAATTACCTTATGAGAGCCCAAAGATATAAAATAAGGATGAAGAATGATTGTTCCCATCACAGAAAGCGTCACCACATCATCTTTTGTGTGTTTGTATGTTGTGTGTGCATCAGAGGTGGCGTGCTGTGGAGGGGTGACAGTCGTGATGTGGAAATGTAAAGAATTTCGTGTACTGAGGATCCAGTTAAAAATCAAACTGGAAAGAGAACAAAATATAGTCAAGAGGTATCCTATAAGGCTGTGATACCTCAAAATGCCTTATTTTAACAAACGTACCTTCCATCTGTTATATAAAATAAACCTACGTTATTAGAAAGAGATGGGGTTAGATGACGTATCACTTACTAGCTAAGTGACTTTGAGCCTGTTTCCTGTCTTCTAGAGACTAGGAAACTCTCCTAGAAGCTCTCCTAGAAACAAAGGTGAGCCTGTGTTTCTTCATATGGGTAACAGAAGTCATAGTAATACTTACTTTAGCAAGTTGCTATAATAATTGGCAACAGCATCTTGAAGCACAGATTATAGTGTCTGGTATATAACAGCCCTCTTGGTACGTAGCTGTATTTTTACTACTGCCCATCGTTCTTCTTTAGGTATTAGACTTACTCATGAACTTTGAGCACTGGTCATCAGACCTATTTCACATGGACCCTCAGACCTTCCTCCCTCTAATTATCAGACCCTTCCCCTCTGGCCATCATGCTCCTCCCTCTGATCATCACTCTTCTCCCTTTGACATTACCCTCTTCCCCGTGGCCATCAGACACTCCTCCATGTGACCATCCTCCTCCTCCCTCTGACTATCACCCTATTCCTTTTGGTCATCAGACTCTCCTCCCTGTGACCATCACCCTCCTCTCTCTGACCATCACCCTCTTCCCCCTGGCCATCAGACTGTCCTCCTTCTGGCCACCCTCCTCCTCCCTCTGACCATCAGGCCTGCCTTACTGTTTCACACCAGCAGCCATAGAGTGGGTCTTCAACAAGCAGCCAACAGCAGCCAGGGAGAGATCCTCGGGCACCGTTTTCCTGTCCAAACAATCAGAACTGTATCAAAGGGTCTGATGCCTGGACTGGCTAGACACATTGGGGTTATTTATAACAGGAGAAAATGGAGTCTCCAGGGAAACAAACCATAGCAAAGAATATGAACGTTTGCAGACTGAATTGCCTTCAGTGATCCCCAAAGACTTTTGGGTTTGACCTATATCAAGTAATTATATAAGTAAACAGCTGCCTTCACCTGTACTTCTGTCCTGCCGAGGCCGGAGTGACTTCCGCCTTCAAAATGAATTTCAGGGCTTTCTTTGAAGCAGTCTTGCAAAGTTGTTATATTTAGTTTAAATTCAATTAAAGCTCAATCTGGAAGCTCTTTCTGAAGCATTTGATCCACATTTACATAAGGTATTTGCTCTTAAAATTGTTAGGGATATAGCTCATTTCCAATAAGAATGAGTGGTATTTCATAAACCAGGATCCATGATCATTTACTTCCCGATAGCTTGCTTCTCCCACATCTAATTCTATTCTTTCTTGAGGGCTGTTGGTGCCGGTGCTGGGGCTGCAAACATCAGGTTAGACTGGAGGGTGACGCGTGTGCTCCCTCACTCCTGGCTGAGGCCTCTGTGCTCATCAGTGGGCTGGCACCAGGCCCAGGAGACAGAGGTACTGCCCACTCACAGGGCTTACCTGGGGACAGACATGCTGCCCACTCACAGGGATTGCCTGAGACAGATGTGTTGCCCGCTCACAGGGCTTACCTGGGACAGACATGCTGCCCGCTCACATGATTATGTGGGGACAGATGTGGCACCTGCTCATGGGGCTTACCTGGGGAAACTCACTAGGATTACCTGGGGACAGATGTGCTGCCCGCTCATGGGGCTTACCTGAGGACATGTGTGCTGCTGCTCATGGGGCTTACCTGGGGACAGATGTGCCACCTATTCACAGGGCTTACCTGGGACAAACATGCCACCTGCTCGCTATGATTACATGGGGACACATGTGCCACCTGCTCATGGGGCTTACCTGGGGACACTCACTATGATTACCGGGGA